AGAGACCAAAGAGCAAGGCTTCTGGGGCACTGGCAACACTGTTCTGGGTGTCACTGATACAAACGTGCTCACTTAGGGAAAACTCAGGGCTGTACACAGTGATGTGGACTTTTTGGCGTAATATTTTAATTTCTGAAGAACCTATATAGTGGAGGACAGGTGGGAAGATACTGTAGTAGTCTGGACGAAAGATGTTGGTTTGGGCTAGGGTAACAACAGAGAGTAGATGAAGATAAACTCTATACTGTTACATGTTTTTTTGCTTTTGTTTCTTATTTTACATTTTGTCACCAGTTAAGTAAAATAAAATCTTAATATATCTAATGTGAAAATATGTTTGGGTAAACGTAGTAAATTTAAGAAAGGCTATGATATCTATGGGTAAATGCAAGTAATTTCCACATACATCATTTGACAGTATGAATAGATTCAGGGCATACACTTAAGACCCAACCAAACTAAACATAGACCTTATAACATAATACTTCACTTCACATGGAGTATATCAAACAATAAAAGATAACGTCAAACTTCTTTTCCTAAGATTGCTGTCTTTTATAATGTATCATTCTCACTTAAACCATTACGAGACTTCCCTCTACTCTAAGTAGTTTATTGGTAAATATGCTGAAGCACACTGACTTTAGATGTCTGTGCTATATATGTTAACTGCCACATCAAGAATCTCAACTGTGTCACTTCCCATGGCTAGTTCCATTTTTGTCTGTTAAATGCAGATGTCTCCTGTCCAGAAACCCAATGCTGCTAGCTGGCAGCCTCTCTTCCCCTCCAAATTACCCCTTCCCATGTTACCTGGTGCCACAGCCCAGTATTACCCACATTCTCGGAAGAGAGCAGGAGCAGCTGTGGTTCTGACCCAGTACACTCAGCTACATTGCTGTGAGGACATACCAATCATCTTTGAAAGATCCTCAACAGCCTAATTCGGTAGCAGTCAGAGACCATTAACTCCGAAATAACTTTTTTTTTTTGATAATGTATGACCATGTTTTCTTCTCCTAAGTTAAAAGCCAAGAGGAAAAATGGAACCCAGGCCAATGAATTTTATTTGATTACGGAGCTCACCAACAATTGAAGAGCCCCAGAATCTGCATTTTAACAAGCACTGAATTCTAGTTAAGTTTTACTCAAGTAGAATATCAGGTAGTATTCTCATTTCAAGAGACTAAAATACATGTTTACTTTCACTTCCTCAATCACATTCATGCATTCACATTTACTGAACATCCACCACAAGCCAAGAACTATTTAGGTTCTAGAATAGGTGTGATTAACAACACAAGGTCCCTGCCCCTGTGGAGCTTACATTCTAATGGAGGGACGCTGACACAATAAAATATAGCAAAGCATTCAGGCGATGAGGTTATCCTTTTAAATAAATAAAATATATCCTTGGATATATTTTGAGGATTTTTTTTTTTTTGAGAGGTTTTCGCTATAGGGAGCATGCGCTTGCCAGACAGAGACATAGAGACAGGAAGCGAGAAATCACCCCCCAGAGGGGATGGTCACGCCGCAATCCTTTCTCCTCCATTCTCCTCTCGGGATCTTGGGCACGCATGCACATGCGCCCAGCGTGAGTTTTAAGCCACCGGGTCTGGGACACGAACCGCGGTCGACTACGTGGGAGTCCAGCGACATAGCCATTACACTAACTGCTGGTTCCCTATTTTGAGGATTTTAAAGGATGTCCTAATCTCATCATTTTAATGTGCAAAGGCAGCTATTCTAAAACAATAGCACTGCTCAACAATGTCATACACGTGTAGATCCTACATTACTGAATAAAAATATACCTTAAAGGAAACTGAAGAGCAACTACCAGGGCTTTCTTTCAGCAAAAATGTTGGTAATATTTTATTTTCTGTAAATTTGGTGCATCTCCTAGACGTCTGGATTAAATGTGTACCATTCGTTTTTGCCAGAGCCAAGTGTGTTCACCAGAGACAGAATGAGAGGGAGGAAGGACCTCCCAGTGGGGTGTGAGCACAACACAATCCTTTCTCTTCCATTTCTCCACCCTGTCAGGATTTGAAGCATGTACTGTTTATATGCCAGTGTGTTTCTCAAGCTTCTGCTGCTAGTATTCAAACTGTGGTTGGCCATACAACTCCCTTCATCACCAGGCTATGGGGCCAGCATGAGAGGCACATGCCTTAAACCTGTAACATATTTCACACCAACACATAACACAATTACCTATGCACGGTTTACTACCCTGCCCAGGACTGTCTAGACCCAGCTGATACTCCCCTGAATCAAGGGCTCTGCCCTCCTTCATCATCCTAGTCATCATTTCTTTCCTAATCTGTAACCTCACTAACAAAGTATGAGCTATGCTATATGCTAAAATATAACCTAGTTAAAGGAAATTAAAAATGTCTTTGAAGTTTAGTCCTTTTCAAAAAGGAAGCAAATATTACTGAGTCTTCTCAATTTTTCATTTTTTCTTTTTCTATGTTAAGATTTACACACTAGCTTTATTTTTGAGGACAAAAGCAATCATATAAACCAAATATGTAACAATTCAACTTACAGCTCTTAACCAGAAAAATGAACTGGTTGTGAAAATCTAAATTTAGACAGTATCAATTCTCAGGACATGCACAGTTGCATACGGCTACATATTTACGCCTATTGATATCCACATGGTCTTGGACTTTGCTTCGTTATTTCACTCAAACCTGAAAGATAAAGGAATAGGGAAAAAAAAAAAAAAACCACAGCTGGGCAGATGATTATCTCTTGGTTATATACAGCAAAATCTAGTTTACCTTAAGAATGTCAAAATTACAGCATCATTTGATAATCAGGCTTTTTGCAAAACTCTTGTCAGTGCATAAGAAAAAGGCAGAGTCAAAAGATGAGGTCCACAGGCATGCTGAGCCCAGATGCAAGCTTAACACCATGACAGCTCAACCAAAAGAAACTTTTCAGCATACAAGTATCCTGACTTTAACAGCTACTCAAAGGTACTTCAGTTTTATTTATGGTTACAAACTTTCCAAGCTGACTGCAAGACATTACATGTGGACCACTTATCCAGAACATCTCAAGAGAAAAAATGGAAAGTGAATTTTTAAAAATGCAACACATTGGAAAAGTTAATTTAGCGTTTCTTTTGGAACTGAGTTGGAACATTACACAAATCATTTATTGGACACATACCTTTTATCAACTGCTACTCCCACTGATATTCTTGTTCAAATACCAAGTTATGCAGATTAATCTACTTCTTGCAAGTTATGTAGACTAATCTAGTTCTTCAAAACAATAGCCTCATTCTATTTCCTGGAATATAAACTGAATTTGTTTCACATTTAGACAATCCTAAAGCCAAAAGTCGTTCTTGCCCCTAAGAGATACTTGCAAAGCACCTTAGGGACCTTACACTACCTAGTCTACCTGCATTACTTTTCAAATTAACCTAATTTGAGGAGAAAAATGGAAGTGTGGGTTTCATATTAATATGGCATTTAAACATGCCATTAATTGACCACAATTTTGAAAAATATTTTAAAAGTCATAACTATTCACAGGATTTCCTTGTTTAAAAATGGCATAGAGGGACCAGTAGGTGGTGAGGTAGTTAAGTCGTAGGACACTGCCATGTGGCCAACCATGGTTTGAGTCCTGGACCTGGTGGCTTGCTTTCTCATTTTCCCTCTGTCTCTGTCTCTCTGGTCAAATTTTTTAAAAAGAGAATTAAAAAATAAATAATTCTTAGAAAAAAATGGCATAGATGGCAATCTAATTATCGGCAACCTAACTGAACATAATTATTAGGGTATTTTTTTAAAACATAGCAGGATACACATTTAAGCAAAACCCACCTCATTTAAATGACTCAAGAGTGAAGGCTTAATTTCTGCATCTTTCTGATACATACTAAAAATACAAAGCCAATGTTTATAATGCATTAAATATAAACCCAAATGCTGACTTTTAATTAATAAGAAAGACCTAATTTGGGCACAACTACTAGAAAAGTATCTAGAACACTTTTTTTTAAAACTCTTTTTCTGTTTGTTAAGCACAAATTGTTACAGATACTACTAAAGATCAATGTAGACATGGTAGACCAAGTTTCTACTGCAGACTTTATGAGACTTTACTGTATGAATATTCATCAGAGCACACACTTTTGAGGATAAGGATTTCTACTCTTCTGTATCCAGAGTATAAATTCTAATTCAACCAATCCAGTGATTTTTTAAAACTTACATGGAACATGAGTAAGTCCTGAATATATACATACTCCACATACCTGATAACTTAAAAAAACAAAAACAAACAAAAAAATTGGCAACCTGGATGGAGTAATTGTGTAATAACGACAATAAGAAAAAGCCACATCATACGGTCAAGTCTTTATTGAAAGACTTACTTCAACTGTGGTTTACAGCTTTGGCTTAAGTTGGCCAGTCATTTTAGCCTCTCACTGTCGGCAGACATATAAATCAAGTGGGAATGGCATGAGTTGGGCGGGAGGTGGGAAATACTAGTAGGAGAGATTATTAGAGTAAAGAAGATGGCAGTCAGAAAAACATCACTCAAATAAATCTCAAAAGTATGAAATAAGAAACATTTCTTTGCATGCCAAAGTCATCTCTGCTGCTGTTTTTTAATGAACATGGAAAAGTCAACGATTCTATGCTTAAATTGGATCAAGATAGCACTGACTTCACTTTATATTATAAAATAGTCTGAGTTGGAGTTAGTTTGACATTTGTATTTGTATTTTAAAAACCTTTCAATATGATATAATTTCCATTAACTGAACTGATCGTGAAATCTTGTTCTCTTTCAGGTTAAGATAAAGGACACTTCAGTCTCATGTTTACCATGGCAATATAACTACTCTGGATAATTTCATTAAATCACAGCATATATAACGAGAAAACACTGCAGCTATATTTAGCTGTAAGTTACCTCAATAAGCTTAATATAGTGGCAGACCAAAAAAGGCAAACTGGGAACTTAACAGGCTTTTTAATCAATTAAGGGGGAAAAAAAGCTTTCAGTTGTTCAAGTTTCTCATGTATTCATAAAATTTTTAGCTCAGAGACAAAATTAACATAATTTGAATACTCTCCCTAAAATCATAATTTGCAGAAACATTCCCCAAAGGTACTATGGACAAAAGAAATAGGGTATATTTTATAATAGAAAAATGTAGTAGATGATATTGTTAAAATTAAGGTGCCATAAAATTTGGCCCAAAGATGAAGAACCTCAGATCCTGTAAATTTTTATATTGGATACACTTGGCTGTATTTCTAAGTTGGGAAAGGAAATACCAAAATTACTATGATTACCAATTTATAAAACCATCATTTATTTTAGAGCTAACTGTAAGATTTCAAAGGCTTAAAAATCATAGGCTGTGGGTGCCGTTTGCGACTAACACCTATTAGCTGTAAAAGGCTATGTTGTCATTTTGGTGCCCTGGCCAACATTTTGAATACACTGAATATATTGCCAAAACATCTGCACCCCCTAGCTGTCACAACTCAAATATATAGGATTTTATCTACTTTACATTCCTGTTTGATAGAAATTTGAGGCAGATTTTATCCACATAGTCTAAAAAATATCTTGGAAGCAAACTTCAATATCCTGCAGTCTAAAAAATATCTTGGAAGCAAATTTTAAATCTCTTGCATCTTCTCATTTATGAACTCTGCACACATACAACTCAAGCCTCTGTTCAGGTTTCTCATTCCATGCATACTACCCACAGGAAAAAAAAAATAATTAAAAGTCACAACTCTGTGTACTATTTAAACTGAATATTCAAATTATAAATTGGTACAGTGAACTGTCTAAATAAGATGTTTTAGCAATCTTGTTACAAAAATTCTTGGGCAAAATATATCTAATTTTTTAAAAACATCCCAAGAGTTTTAAAAAACACTTGTACTATACAACTTATAGGAACCTTGAACTGGTTTACAAGGTTTTAATCAAGGTATTTACATACCAAGTAATATAAAGCAAAAACAAAACAAAACAAAACAAAAACCCACAACTAATTTCCAGTAACATTTTAGAATGTACTAATGCATCAAAGATTTGTATGAAATTAAAATTAAGGCTTTTTCTGTGTAGTAATTTGTGTAATTTTAATTTTACATAGTAGCCAACCTTGGAAATGTCAGTCTTAAACATTCTTATCAATCCACTGCATTCATGCAGTGGAATGTATGTTACTTCAAATAATTACATTGCTGCTACTTCTATGTTGAAGCATGCTTTTTAAACACTGTAGTTATTCAATATTTACAATGTATATCATTTAAACTTCATGTAAAAGCACAAGTATGACCGTCTGACTTAATACAAACACCATACTTGGAATTTTGCCCCCAAAATGAAGTGTAATATACTACAGTTTTAATAATCAACACTTTCTGAAGTTTTAAAAATATGTCTTAATGTGGACCACCAACATTCACTCAAGTAAATCAGACAATGCTGTTCCTTATTGAGGTTGCAAAATTTCAGTCTGGCTTCGGTTTCTTTAGGCATGGGGAAAGTATTTCCTCCAAAGTGACTCCAAAATCATGCACTTCTTCTGAATATCACAATTTTTTTCTGCTGACTTCGAATGTGGTTCCACCTCAGGGTAAGGGAGGGGAGTATCAGGATTCAGGATGAAATTATATATGATTCCCAGTTTTTCACGGTTCTCCCTTTTTTTTTTTTTGCTCTTAAAAACACAGTGAGTTAAAATACTGAACAGCAAGATAAAAATGGAATTGTATCTAATAATCAAAAGGTATCACCCATTTCTCCTATTATATCAAAATTTGTAGTCAGAATTGTCTTTATTGACTTTATTTTAGTTTTTGTACACAAAGAAAAATCATGTTCATATCCATCATGAACAAAAACTTAAAAAGGCAGAACTAGAAGACATGTGTCCTTCACCAAAGCAAAGCTGTGCTAAAGGTTCCAAACATTTCAATTTTTAAAATAAATATTTTCATTTTCCGATGTCTACTTTCATGTCTTCAGAGTGTCACAGGAAATTGAAGCCTATCATGAATTACAATTTTGTTTAGAGTCCCAGCTCACTGTGTTTGGTAACTTGCCATACCATATCCAGCTTGGTTAGGAGGAGGTATTACAGGGGGAGGAGCTTGTCCTTGGGGAGGCTGAGCACCAAATCCACCCATCCAAGCAGCAGAAGGTGATTGACTTAGAAGGAAAAAAAAAATCTTCAGCAAACACAAGAAGAAAAATATCATCTACACATTCATAAAAAACCAAGCAGAGCCTGATTCACAACAGACAATTAGAAATCAACAAACCTACAACAAATAGATCAAAGAAATAAATGATATATGTGAACACATATCCTAGTATTAGTCTTAAATTTCTAAGTTAGAAAAATCATAACTTAGTACTATAACATCTCTTTTTTTAAAAAAATTATTTTATTAACTTTACTTTATCCATACTTTTATGTATTTTAACTTGACCAGAGAGGGATAGAGTGAATAAGAGAGAGAAAGTGAGAAAGCAAGCCACCAGGTCCGGCCCTCCAACTGTAGTCGGCTATGTGGAGTCCAGTGCCCTTCATCACCATGCCACCTGCAAGCCCCAACAGCGTCTCTTAAAAAGTACCTGAAAACTGTTTCGAAAATATCAAATGGTTCAACATATCACCTACATAAATCCCAGCCCCAGTGGCTTGAAAAACACACCAGGTATGTGTGTATGCACGCCCCTAATCCTGACAAGATGGAGAAATGAAGAAGGAATAATGGTATAACTATGCTCCACTGCTGGGGGGTGTTTTCTCCCTCTCCCTATGTCTCCTGCCAAGCAAAAGTATCCTAAAAAAAGGGGGGGGGGACCAAGAGTCATATAACTATATAATAGTTTTATTGCTATACTCCCATATGGCCAACTATGGTTTGAGTCCTGGACCTGAGGCTTGAAACTCACTCTAGATGTGTGTAAAGAGTGCCCAAAATCTCTAGAGGAGAAGCGATTACAGTGTGGCCACCTTCCCTGGGTGATTTCTCGCTTTCTGTCTCTCTGTCCTTCTTGGCAAGAACACATGCCCTATCACAAAAAAAAAAAAAAAAAAAAAGGAAGAGGACCAGTGAAAATAAGTAAGTCATAAGGGACCAACCCTCTCTATTAAAAAAGAAAAAAGAAAGAAAAGGAAGGGGAAAGAAAAAAACTATTTGGTATCATAAAAATTTCTGGACCAGCTGGTGGCATGGTGGTTGAGGTGGCTGGATTCCACATGACCAACTGTGTGGTTCAAGTCCTGGCAGCTTGAGAAACATACCAGGAATGTGTGCATATGCACCCGAAATTCCCCAAAAAGAAACGGAGAAGAAACTGTCTATCTCTGTGAGGGGTGCTTTCTCATTTTCCCTGTTTCTCTCCTCCAGTGAGTACACATGCTCACAAGCAAATTTTTCTTCAAAAGATAAATTTATGAGATTTCTCACACATGTCAAACAGGCATAAAGTCATCAAATTCCTAAACATATGTGAACAAAGATCTATGTATAAAAAAAGTACACAAAATACTGTATTAGAAATGTAAGTCAAATTCTACCATTTGCTGGCAGCGATTAGCAAAACAATTTAAATATTATCCCAACCTCTATTTTCAACTAGGTAAAGATTAGTAACTTTTTAGAACACAAATTATATTTTATTAGAGTTGTTTCTGTAATGATTATAATGCCAAATAGCTCTATACACCATAATTTATACAAACCCTCCCTAGAAAAAGACTTTTTTCCTTTTGTCAAAACCACATTTGTTTCTTTACTGAAAAGATCCAAACAACTTACTCTACTCCAAATCCTTGCTGATTCCATGGTTGCCCATATACTCCGTAAGGCGGTACTTGCCACCCATTTGCCATGTACTGTCCATACTGTTGTGGGTTTCCATACACTTGGCTCCACTGACCCCACTGACTATAGTCAACCTAGGAAAAAGCAAATTAGTGTTTTAGGGAGTAAGTAAGAAACACCGTATTTGAAGAAAGAGTGGGAGACAAGGAAGAGAAAAACTAAGTAAGCACCCTTATGTGAATAGGACTCTGTTATTTATCATTGTCTAAGTTTATTGGGGTGGTGACACCTGTGAAAAGAAAGTATTAAGATTAGTTAATACCGCAAAATAATCAATTTTGAAATAGCATTAATACAATCAACTGAATGTAGCTATATGCTTTATTTTACTATTTATTTTACAGAGTAAAAAGCTTTTATGTAGATACGTAAGATGGAAACCTTAAAAAGTGCTGTGAAAAATCGAATTACCTGTTGGAAGTTTTTAGTCATATCAGGAGATTCTTTACCCCAATAGCATTTAACCACATGTCCTTCAATCGTAGTACCATTCACCGAAACAATGGCATGGGCCGCACTTTCATGGGTTGAAAATCTAAGATACGAAAACAATGAGGTCTTTTTTTTTTTTTTTTAAAGAACATTACACGTCAAACAATACGAAAACTCTTACTGCATACTTATTTAGTTGCAATTTTTCCTAAAGTACATATGTAGTAGTTTAAAGCTCTGTATTGGAAAGAAGTACTGAAAAACAAATTCTGATACTTTAGGAGTCAAATAACATAACTAAAAGAATGAATCAAACATAATAGCAATAATGATACTAAAGGTAAAACATTACCTAACAAATGAATAGCCCTTCTCCGGAAAAACTCTTATTTCCATAATTTGTCCAAATGGTGAGAATGTCTGTCTCATAAGCTGATCTATAAAACAAAAACATATAAATAAAGTAAGATTTACATAGTATGCCTCACATAATTCACACAAAAAGCAATAAAGCTGCACAGAGGTGATTAGAAAGCCAAATACTATACCTGTTAACCCAGAGGCAATTCCTCCACAATAGACAGTACAATTTTTTGGACTTGACTGGTTTACTACATCTTCAAATCTCAACTGCTTAGTGTTATCTATATTCAGAAACAAACAAAAATGTTGACTGTTACACAGTATTATAAAACTATCTTTTGTTATTTACTTTGTACTATAAAGATATGTCTCAAAGGAAGGAGAAAATACTTTTTTCTTCTAAAGTTTATTTTACAGCCATTCTTTAATTACTGATGGCTGTAAAATAAACTGTTTAAAGACCACTTGCCCTTAGAAACAGTTCTTATCTCATTCCCAGTCAATTAATACTGATTACACGAAGTGTTCACAATCACACACGACTACGTATCTTGTTTATAAAGCTATACTTTATTGTGTATCAATAGTAGTATTCAGAGTAAATAAAAATGATTATGCCAAATTTGTGTTACTATTGAGCACTGTATCTTGTCACTTTCTCATGCCTGTCTAATAATATCCTTTTTGTATGGAGAATTACATTATTCAAGTGTGGTGCCATGTGATATCTATTGAAAAATACATAACCTATGGCACCACAAAGACATCAGCCTTTAAATTCCTTATTTATCAACCAAGTTGCTTAATGACCCAGTCATAGAAACAGAACTTGGTCACTGAGAAGTGTCTGTATTTATTCTTCCATGAGTGAGAGAGACAGCACTCCTAACAGGTTCTCAACACTGCAGTCCACCCCCAATCCTAATCAGTCCCAAATCTTAGGCACAGATGTGCGCAGCATACTCACGGAGGTCTCCAGATATGAACCTAGAACCTTCCCATGTAAGTCAGTGTCACAGAGAATCATACTATTGTGCCATCTGGCCCCCAAAATATACTATAAAATATATTTATAAATTGTAATTTTTTTTTCCTTGATGCCATGATTTGGTTCAGGTGGTTCATGCCTCCAAAAATACTTATATACAAAACAAAATTCAAGATGAAATGAGTCATGCAATGATGACTTAAGTATTCAGAAATTAAGAGTATACTAATATGTAACTTTGTGAAGAACACAGAATTTTAACATATATAGCAGAAACATCTTACTTTCTTGTGTACTTTTAGGTGCAGGGGGTTTACGTGTGGCCCAATTGGTTCTGATTTGGCGACCACCCAACCACTGACCTCCCATGTGCACAATTGCGTTTTCTGCATCCTATAAAGAAAAGAAGAGTAAGAGGGATCACAAAGAAAATAGTGGTAATCTAATATTCTGTAAGATGAAATAAAATGCTGACATAGCTAGAACCAATAAATCTTATCAGTAACTGAATTCACTAAATGTCCTAAACAAAACTGAGCTATTACCAATAAGAAAATAATCAGAACTTGAGTCATTCATAAAAGTGCCTTTTATTTATATATTTAAAAATATGAGGATAGTAATTAAGTGCATTTACAGGAAAATTCATCAAAATTCAAATATGCAAGAAAAGACCATAATCCCAATAATTTAGCCCCCCAAAATTTCATTTTAGTTCGTCCAAAATACATATTTCAAAAAAAAAGGAAAACAGAAATCCTGTAAGGCAAAGACATCTGCAAATATATTAATCTTGTGGTTGATCTGTAATGGCAACTTTCACTCAAAACCATTAAAAAAACCCTCTAATATGGTCTAAATCACCTATCCCTATTCCCCCAAAAGTATATATTTGGGGATATATATTATAATGTAATTATACAATAAATTAGACAAATCATAAATAAAACAAGATTAAAAAATTCACTTCTGAATTATGATTTAGAATGCTTTAAAATAGCTATGGATAAATAAGTTTAGGTGGTCTGTATCAATGTAAATTTGCAGTGAATCTAACCAAAGATAAAATACAACTCTAGTTCTTTATCTTTTTCATCGTTTTTATCATTGCCAGAGGGTACGTGCACCTGACAGAAACACAGAGAGCCAGAGAAACAAGAGAGAAAGCACTTCTGATGGGGTATAACCATGTTGCAGTCCCTTTTCTTCATTCTTCTCCATCCTGAGCAGGCACGCACATGACTATGTGGTTTTTTTCAAGCCACTAGGCCACTAGGGAATTTGTTATAAAACATTCACTTCCTAACACTAGGCTACAGGGCCAGTCCAGGACTTATCTTATGATTTCAATACACTGTAGGTAATTTAAGTTTCCTATTTTTAAAATGTGGGTAATATAAGTTGTTGAAACTGTACTAAATAAGTCAAAGCCACTTTATTATTTAATGTTAAAGTTAATGTAAATTCTTAGCTATTTCAGTACCTCTATTTTATAAAATACAAGCAAAAATTGGCTTAGCTATGGTAGTGCTCAGGTAGTACCACCACTAGGGAGGCTGGAAACCACAGGAGACCCAGGTTTGGCTTCTGGAGCACCTGAACACACAAGGCAAAACTGTGCATACCTGTGATCTTGGTAAGTAGGAAGCTGGGACAGAAGGATGATGACACAGAGATTCTGTCAAAAATGCCTATGTCTGTATCTCTCTCCCTTTCCCTCTGTCCCTCCTCTTCTGTATCTCATAAAATGTGGGAAAAGTTATTAAAGTATGGATAATACTTTAAGAGAGTTAAAACAGATGTTTTCATGATTAAAGAATGAATATAATTTACCTCCCTTCCAAATTCTCGTATTAGCTCATTTGTCCTAGTCTTGGGATTTACTTATAAAATGTCCTTACCAATGCACATATGTAACTTTTTTTAAAGAATTATTTATCATTATTTTTAAATTTTGCTGCAGGGCACTTATGCTTAACAGAAATAGAGACAGAGAGAGAGAGAGAAAGGGGAAAGTGAGAAATAAGCTGCCAGGTCCAGGACTAGAACCATGGTCAACCAAGTGGGAGTCCAGCATCTTAACCACCACACCACCTGCTGACCTCACACAGATATAATTTGAACAATAATGTTCCTTAGAGTGCAATCACTCTATCTTTTCCCAGATATTTATTTCCAAGTTTATAAAAGAATTAAAATTTCAGATACGATGTTAGATAATGACTAAAGTTAGTATTAAAAGTTTTAAACCGAGTACAGAACGTACCAATTTATTATAAAAAGATACAAAACCATAGCCTTTGGATTTTCCAGTTGCCATGTCTTTAACTACCCGGGCATCCCTGTGAAAAGAAGCACAGCTAAATGAGGGAAGTAAGAGTCACCTTCAAAATAAAAACTAAAAGGAACCACACACACTGTATTGTGAGCATTTTTAAAATAAAATTCCAGTTAGCCCTAATTAACTACAGCCATTCCTGAACTCTCCCTAATGCTTCTTTACCTGTTAGAAAAAAGCAGTAGGACAAAAACATGTAATAAACATGCAACCTAATCAAATAGCCTGTGCTTTCTAAATTAAATGCTCAAATTTGAAGATTAATAGGAACAACAGTTTCCTTTCTAATATTCTATTTGCTATTGTCCTCTAAGGTTTACCGATTCTATAAATTACTGTAACAATGCTAACTACTTTACCATGCAATCTCTAAATAGTTAAATGTCTTCTGCCTAGTGATACAAAATATATGAAATATTAAAAAATTGAAAAAGAGGAAAAAATAGGAATTAAAAAGGCATACATGGCCTGTTAACAGATTTCTTTATTTTTCTTGGTCAATTCTCTACCATCATTTTGGAGTTTGGGCAGCTGTAAATTTTGAAAAATTGACATTTTCAGAAATTTAAGAAAGGAGAATAAAAAACTAACAACAATGCTAAGCACACCAGTACGAAAACAACAAATTTACACAGAAATTTTAGTGAGTAAGTTAAAATGATTGGAAATATAGAACTCCACTGAATATAGAATGTTAAAATGTAAATACTAAAATATGTATATATAAATAATGTATAATAAGAATAAATAGAAATGAGAAAAAAAATCTACAACTGAGTTCCAGTGTGCACAGTTCCTTGCAGTTAGCCTTCAAGATCCTGTCCATTCTTATGAGCAATTCTGCAAAATAACCAGAATGCTATTACTTTTAATTGTGACTTGGACTTTAGAAAAACTGCAGGTCTCAGGTATAAATAAAGATCGAAAAACAGCAACCTGTATTATTTTATGCTAAATTTTAAAACAGTATTACTTACCACAATTAAATTAAAAAGTAAAGCAAATATCAAAATAGAAAATTAAGAATTAAATATTTTTCAAATAAATTAAATCTACAGAACAACAAATTTACAGACAAAAAAATTGTTGTTCTTAGTTACTTATTCCTGTAAATTAGTACTAAAACATTCATATCTACAGGTAATACAAAAACTGATTTTAATCAGAAAGATAAATTATAACAAACATTCTATACAACTTGTAACCACTTAAAAATTTCCAATATATTTTATCAAGTAACAAAGTTAAACGTGAGAATAAAGTTTGTTAAAAATGAAATACATTTGCCGCCAAACAGAATCAAATATCACTAACAAAAGTCTAATTCATCCCACATTTATGACTTAAACATTAAAACATTTAAATACTAGAAATAGTACCACTTTAAACTCATAGCTAAAATGTCAAAACACATTTATCATTATAATTAAACACAAATATTCCCGATTTAACCACAACATATTCAAAGATTTACCTACTTTTTCGCATTTATAAACTCCTCTTACCAAAGTTTAACACAGTATAAATCACATTTATTTTGATTTACCCATTATCTTTAACCACCAAAAATTGAAAACATTCGACAAGAAGTTTGACTTTGTAAATTTTACCACCCAAACATCTGCTTCAAAGATAACAAACAAAATCAATTTTTCAACATATTATATATACATAAGATTAGATGAAAACAAGACCCCAAAACATTGAGATGACATTAACATTTTCAACAACATCTACTACTCAAAAACAAAGCAAAGCAAAAGCAAAAAAATTAAAATAAAATAGAATAAAACAAAAATCACACTAACTTGAGAAATAAAATCTTAATTCCAATACAGGTTAATTGTATACACTTTGCCTATTGCTATTTAGTATAGTACTAATTATGATACTTACGATATTTTACCAAAGGGGGCAAATGCTGATTTGATATCTTCTGTTGTAATTTCTGGACTCAAATCCCCAACAAACACATGGAAGTGATCTGAAATCAAAGCATTTAGTAATACTTAAGAAGTCAGCTACTAAACCATTTTCAGGTAACATAATGGAAGAAAAAACCCTGCTTAAGCTGGTAATGCTGCCAGGATAATTTCAGAACTCTTCCACAGTAAAATGCAGCAGAAGTACTTACTGGAAGTATCTTTTTTCTGGCTACTTGGTGTTGTTGCCCAGTTTACTTTGACCTCCTAAAAACAAAGATTATATTTAACACAATTATTAGGCATGTCACTGTCAATTATAACACTTACCACTTATTAAATAATTTATTAAGCAGGATTACTTTTGTAAAAGCATTAGGCTGAATAAAGCAAAACCATCACTCAGCAGCTGAACATCTGTTTAAAAACTTGCTAAGAAAAAATACAAACTAATTTGACATGCAAATATATGTACTCATAAGGTACCATCATTCTATTATCTTACCTTTCCCAAAATTTTTCTCCCATTCATAGCAGCTAATGCAGCAGCTGCATCTCTGTGTTCATAAAATTCCACAAAGCAATATGGGTCATTGCTTGTATGCTGCAAAACAGAAAATCCAACAGAAGAGTTGACCCTTCTGCTATCGGGTTGCTGAGAAGAAAATCCAGGAAAAAACATTACTGATAGCTAGGAATGTACAAGGTGAGATTGCATAAGAAAGCCTAACAATCTAAAAATAAGATTTATAGCCAAACCTGACTTTGAACTCAGAAAACTGTTGTACTCAAACAGAAATATAAAAGCAATACAGAATCATGATCATCAGTATTAAATAAAAGTACAGAATTCTGGTGAAGTATGCTCAATATAAAAGAGAAGTTTATATTAGACCAAACAAAACCTCAAACTCAGATTTGATGGGACAACTTCCTAAAGCTGCTCTTCTCTTCTAACATTATTTTTTAAAGGGTATATTTTATTAGGTTCTTGGAAAGTCAAGATGCATTTTTCTATGCAAAAATACTTCATGACTTTCCTGATGACCCAATATTTACATATTATAAATTATTTCCAAGGACTATAAAAAATACAGACATGAACCAGGTTTATAAACTTTTCTCCTGATCAAAGCTAGGATCAGTACTACAAATGATGGTACTTTGTACTGCTACAAAGACTATATATGAGGGAGTCCTCAAAAAGTGTATAGGAAATATGTATTTTTAAAAACTATGCACAGATTTCACATTTTTTATACAAAAATATATGTCATACTTTAATCCCATTTCCTTAAGCTTTCTGAAGTCCCCTCATATTTTCTGGATAAGGAAGGAATGAGAATAAAAATAGGAAAATTGAAGATGTGTAACCAGCTACTGAAATGAATTTCCTGCCTTCCAAAATAGTCTAATTTACTGGCGATCCTATATACCTTAAAATTTGGTCTTCCAAAGACCAGAGAAATAAACTAGTGATCCAGGAAAGAATTTCTGAAAATGTGTCTGAATATTTCAGAACAAAGCTACAATTTCACAAAAATACCAATGAAGAAAATCTTTACTAAAAGCCACTCATCAATACTCAATGTAAAATGCCCTAAAAGAATATTTAAAAAGTGGAATTCTAATTGGACTTACAAGGGATAAAAATGCCAGATAAAATTAAGATCTTTCAACAACCACTGTTTTTCATTCCAGGAAAGTTTTAGAAGAAAAATGCAAAACAAGACGTCTAAACAATAGTTGTAAAGCGACCAGAAGGCATTTCCTTGAGGAAAAAAAAAGTGAGATCATTAATACTGACAAGAACCATGGAGTCTCATACAAAATCCTACAGTTGTAGCCAGATGAACGTTGTTCTTAAGAGGAAGAGAAAGGAAATGGAGGGAAAGACTAAATAAGGATTTTAAAATAAACGAGAAGGCCCTGTAGTGTTATGGTTAAGGGAGCTGGATTCCATATGACTGACCAGGCTTTGGAGGCTGGAAGAACATGCCAGGCACATGTGCACACATGCCCCCAAAATCTGATAGGATGAAAAGATGTTGGAAAAAGGAATGTGGCAATACCATACCCCATTAGTGGGTCCGTCCCTCTGTCCGTCCGTCCTTCCTTCTCTCTCCCTCTCTCTCTCTCTCTAAACTATCAGAAGGTGCAGGCATTTGTCAGAGACAGGGACAGAGGGAGAAAGCATTCCACCAAAAGGGTATGATCCCTCTGTAATATCTTCTCCATTTCTCCCTGTTGAGATTTTTGGGTGCATATGCATCCAGTGTGATTTTCAAGTCACCAGGACCAAGATTCAAACTGCAGTTGAACATGCAGGATTAATCACTAGGCTACAGGGGTGGCCCCTGGAAATGAGACACTTTGTCTCTCTCCCTCTTTATGGCAAACCTACATGCTCCCTGGCAATTAAAAAAAAAAAAAAAAAAAAAAAAAGCAGTAGCTAAAATTGTGCTGGTTGACTTTCCTTTCACTCCTTCCTTTTATACTCTGATGGTCTCTAAGGGAAATAATGATAATTATAGCAAAACAGGGTCGACTCTAAAGTACACTGGTTAAGTGCTGTACAATGAAGGCTGACAGGAGTTCAAATCCTGGCCCTGGCTACGACATACCAGGTGCATGAGTGCACATGCTCAGGATCCTAATGAAATGAAGGAAAAAGGATTGTGGCGTGACTAAGCCCCACTGGCTGATGCACATGCATGCACTCACTCACTCGCTTTCTCTGGCATGCACACATACTCTCTGGCATAAAAAAGCAAAAAAGGGACCAGCAGAGATCATGTAATGGTTATAACACTGGACTCCCACATGGCCTACTGAAGTTTGAGTCCTAAACCCAGAGGCTTAAAACATGCCAGGCATGTATGCATGTGTGCCCAAAATCCCAAGAGAAGAATGGAGAAGGGATTGTGGCGTGGCCATCTCCCATGGGAGAGGGGGGTGTGATTTCTTGCTTTCTGTCTCTCTGTCTCTGTCTCTCCAGTGAGCACACACACCCTACAGCAAACAAACAAACAAACAAACAGAAAAAACAATATAGAGGTCCGATGGTTGATATACTATAATAACATATACTTTACTAAACTACTCTACTCATGCAGTGATTTCAAATTTATCTAGCCCATAATAGGTCAGATCCCATTCAATGTATGCATGAGTGTGTATGCATACACACATATTTCAATATTCTTATTACACTGTATTTCATCTAATTTGACAACATTGATTTTTTTTTTTTGAGAGTATTTTTGCTATAGGACACGTGCACTAGCCAGAAAGACAGAGAGACATAAAGTGAGAAATCACCTCCCAGGGGGGATGGCCATGCCGCAATCCCTTCTCCTCCATTCTCTTAGGATCCTGGGAACACACGCATACGCGCCCAGTGTGAGTTTAAGCCGCCAGGTCCAGGACTCGAACCATGGTCGACTACGTGGGAGTCCAGCGACATAGCCATTATGCTAACTGCTGGTCCTGATACCATTGATTTTTAAGTCACATCCCAACTCTCAGGACATTATAAAATTTTCAAAAGAATTATTTGTTGGGGCCGGCAGGTGGCATGTGGTTAAAGGCACTGGATTCTCACATGGCTGACTATGGTTCAAGTCCCGGACCTGGTAACTTGCTTTCTTACCTCTGTCTCTCTCTGTGATCAAACTGGAAAATAACAACAAATAAATAAAGTTAAAAAAAATAATTCTTTAAAAGGAGTCTAGCCTCCACAGAATAGATAATTCCATTTGTAAGAAATGTCCAGAATAGGCAAATCCAGAAGACAGAAAGTAGGCTGGTGGGTGGGGCTGCAGGTGGTGCGGTGGTTGAGGCACTAGACTCCCACATGGCCAACTGTAGTTCAAGTTCTGGACCTGGCAGCTCACTTTCTCACTTTCTCTCTCTCTGTTTCTCTCTGATCAAATTTTTAAAAATAATAATGATAAACAAAATTAAATAATTCTTTTTTAAAAAAGTACACGGGTGGTTCCCAAGGGCTGGGAGTAGGGAGGAAATGGAGAGTGATTACTAATGGGTTTCTTTTTCGGGGTCATGAAGAAGTTCTAAAGTGATTACAGTGATGGTTGCATAACTCTAAACCATCATACTAAAGCCAACATACTCAAGGTCTTTGAATTGTTTACCATTTTGTGGGGTTCTGGTGTGTGCATGTGTGTTTGCACGGGGTCTCACTGTGATGTGATCCTCCTGCCTCATCGTCCCACAGAGCCAGGACCACAGACGCCCACCACCCCACCCAACTTGTCAGGGTGGGCCTGAATTGAACTAGTCCTCCCCGTGACCTCAGCCCCCCAAGCAGCAGCAGTCGACGTGTGCTACTGTGGCTGAGCCTAAACTGTACACTTTGAATGAGTGACTCGTATGGTATGTGCATTTTCTCTCAATAAAGTGGTATAAAATATGTGCCACGCCAGCTCAGGTTTATAAGCTGCCACCAAGTCCCCTGCTCCAGCCACAAATCAATCGCAAATAAGCAACCTAATACAAATAACCTACATCCCTGGCTCATACGAGATGGTATTATTTTAATTTGGGACCTAGTAAGATTACAGTAACCCTGTAAATAAATGACTTACAAGGACAAGTAGAGAAGCAAGGAAAAAATAAACTCAGAGCTTTGTTTGTTTGGTTTTTAGTTTTTGCTATAGATGCATGCGATTGCCAAGAGAGGGAAAAAAGTGAGAAATCACCCTCCCCCTCCAGGGGGGAGAGCCACGCCACAGTTTTTTCTCCTATAGTCTCCTCTCAGGATTTTGGGCACACACATACATATGCCCAGCGTGATTTTCACGTCATCATGTCCAACACTCAAGCTACACAGTCAGCTATGTGGGATCCAGCACCTTAACATTACTCCATGCCACCTCCTGCCCCAAACTCCCAGTTTTCATATTGTTTGATTATATTTCAGTGTCACTATAATCTTTTTTAAAAATTTATTTATTTAATTTTTGTTTGTAATTATTATTTTTTAATTTGCTACAGGACACGTGCACTCACCAGAGAGAGAGGGAAAGTGAGAAAGCAAGCTGCCAGGTCTGGGACTCAAACCATGGTCTCCTATGTGGGAATCCAGCACCTCAAAAAAAAAAAAAAAGCAGTAGCTAAAATTGTGCTGGTTGACTTTCCTTTCACTCCTTCCTTTTATACTCTGATGGTCTCTAAGGGAAATAATGATAATTATAGCAAAACAGGGTCGACTCTAAAGACAACGGGTTAAGTGCTGTACAATGAAGGCTGACAGGAGTTCAAATCCTGGCCCTGGCTACGACATACCAGGTGCATGAGTGCACATGCTCAGGATCCTAATGAAATGAAGGAAAAAGGATTGTGGCGTGACTAAGCCCCACTGGCTGATGCACATGCATGCACTCACTCACTCGCTTTCTCTGGCATGCACACATACTCTCTGGCATAAAAAAGCAAAAAAGGGACCAGCAGAGATCATGTAATGGTTATAACACTGGACTCCCACATGGCCTACTGAAGTTTGAGTCCTAAACCCAGAGGCTTAAAACATGCCAGGCATGTATGCATGTGTGCCCAAAATCCCAAGAGAAGAATGGAGAAGGGATTGTGGCGTGGCCATCTCCCATGGGAGGTGATTTCTCCCTTTCTGTCTCT